GTTGCAGGGCCAATAGAGCTGGCCAACAGCCGAGAGTCAACAGCGGATGTGCATTACGGCGGCTATGTCAATTTTATTTCGCATCCAGTTCTAACCCGTCGTGGTCAGGAACTGATGCGAAAGCTGCGTTTCGATCATCTGGACTATCAGCTATTCGAGATGAAGCCGCTCAGCTATGAGGGATATATGCAGAGCTATGGCAAACTAAATACTTGCCAGCTGGCTACGCAAACCCACTCCCAGCAGATGGACAACGAATGCCAGACTCTGGAGCTGCACACTCGCACCAGCTGGACACAGCATCCACCTCATTATGGCAGTCTGTTGGTGCAGAGCTGCAGCGGGGATGCAGACGATGRCAGTGATAGACTCGTGGCTCATGCAAATGATGTATTCGATTGCAGTCTGGCACGCCTGGAGCAACTGCGTCAGGCTGAGCAACAGCGCGCTATGCGCCAGCAACAACGGCGTCTGACCAAACCCAGCGATTTGAATAGGCTAGGCGTGTTTCTGCAAAAGGCATCATTGCTTCTAGGCAAAGTACTGAACTCCAATGGCCCAACTCGTTCGSCACGCCAAGTGCCGCTGCTGCAGACCGGCCTGCTGAATGCGCTCCCAGTGCGTCGCATCTTTGGTAGCGCCGGGCAGCAGCAGCTCGTGGTCACGGTGCATGAGTGTCCGCCCGATTCTAATGTCTATCGAGATGATTTCGCCAATCTGCTGATGGTCTGGTCTCTCACGGATCCCAGCAAGCCGCTACGTCTGCTGTCCACCTGGGCGGAAGTATCGCGTGTGGCATTTTGCTGCGAAGCACCCGACATAGTTGTTGCGGGTCTGCGCGATGGCAGCATTGCCATGTGGGATTTGCGCGAAACATACAGCTTTTGCTCCAAGCTGGACGGAAATTTGACACACTTTGCAGCCACACAGTCGGTGGTGCCCACCATGGAGAACCAAGGATTGACTGCACTGGACCTGGGTGCCGTAGTAGATGTGCGCAGCTTTCGCCCGGCACCCCATGCATCTGGCCTTGGAGTGGCCACCAGTTGGACTCTGGCACACAAGGATATTCAGGTGAGTTGGCAGCTTGAAATGATGTGAGCCTGAACCAGTTACATTCCAATCCCTTTCCATAGTATGCATCGCTTAACGATTCTGGTCTGCTAACCATTTGGTCGCTGGTGGCAAGTGGGTTAAATTGTGGTGCAACGACACGAAACGAGTACAGCTCACCCTGGGCCAGGGTCAAGCTGCTGCAGGCTGTGAGCTGTGATCTGCGCGGCTATCTAGAGCGCCGCCTGCTGAA